ATCTGTGGTCCCTTGACTGTAATTTTAGGTAGCAATTTGTGTGCACAGCTGTGAACCACAAGCCGTATTTTAATATACTTTTCTCTTCAGAATTGGAAACTGACACAGCAAAGGCTTTTTGTAAAAAAGAGCTCTGGGTGTATTTTATAGTTCTTACTCAGGCTTCCTCAGCCTCGGCCCTCCAGATGTTTTTGGCCTACAAGTCCCATGATCCCTAGCTAACAGGACCAGTGGTCAGGGATTCTGGGAATTGTAGTCTCAAAACATCTGGAGGGCCGAGGTTGAGGAAGCCTGTTCTTACTCATGTGCACATACATCAGCTTTTTATATCATATTCTAAACAAGTATGTAAAATAATGCCTGAAAATATTTCTAGAAATAGCAAAATATAACCTCAGAAGCATCTTCAAGTTAAGAGGGGAAAGCACTACGCACTATTCAAACTGAAAACAAATTGAGATATTTTAGTGCAGTATTTTCCCCTTGTTCGTCAATTCCAGGAAGTCTCGTTTGATTTGAAAGGGAGTGTGCTGGAAAAAATCTGATTTCAATAGAGGTCACTGATCCTTAATCAACTAAGTCTTCCATCAAATAAACAGTTTGTTACTTAACACAGTACATTGCCAGAATACTTTTCCTTTTCCAAAGCAACATATGACACGTAATTGGCAAGAAGCTTAGTGACAAAACTAGCTACAAAAAGCACAAAATGAGAATTTATTTGAAAAATTATCCCAGCAGCGTGAAGAACAAAATGCAATCAAGATATACTGTTAGCTCAACTTCTCTCTGTAAAAGTTAGGAAGTTTGTTTTAACATGAACTATCCAAGTGTAAATCAAGTTCAAATCATTTTTTTCTGTTCCTCTTTGTTTAGCAACATGGAAGTTCCATTCTGATTCCTGCAGAGTGCCTTGCCTTTTCACCTTAGTACTGTTCTAGGGGGAACAATTAAATTAACTGTTTTCTCTCCTTGTTCTTTCTGGCAATAGCTTTTCTTGCCCACATCTTAAGAGGCAGAACAGCCAGAATACACAACCACTGACCAGAAAGAATCATTGTTCCACCTTTCAGCATGCCAATAATTGCTTCTTAAAAGCCACAAACTGACAAATTCAGTGTGACGAATTCATGTTCAAATTCAGCAAAGTGCTGTAAACTTGTACTATAAAAATACAAACTTTAGCTTGCAAGCACAAGAACACAGCCACTCTCTTACGACTCTTCTACGCACACTTAGCACAAGAACAAAGGTAGTGCAAATGTCATTCATTCTAGAGCAGGATCAGATCTCAGCAAGAACAATAATTTTTTACCTGCCAAAGCCAGCTGAAGGCCGCTGATATCCACAGATTGGCCCATATTTCCTACATCCATTGATGCAATCTGTCTTGGGGTCTTTTTGAAGAGCTCTCTAGGTGGGGCCAACATCAGCTGGGAAAGAAAGAATTTCTCTGGTGGGGTTATAGGAGGCAGAAAACCTGGAAAAGCAACACCATTTCAGGATTTCATGTGCTAAAAATAGTACTTTATACATACTGAAATACAAATATTAACTTGATGTAACAAATGGGTAGAAATGTTTTGCACTCTTCTCTAACAACTGGGTTTACGTGAAATGTATAAACATACAACCAAAAACATAAAGTTTTGTTTGGCTGTAAATTAAACTAGCTAAAACAGCATCTGTTTGTAACTGAATACTCAGAATTAGTACAGTATTTTTAAAATGAATTTTCCTCACCTCAACTTACATATTCTGAAAGACTTTTAAAATAACCTTTTAGACTGGTACTTTTGCTACACTGTCCTCACATTTTACACGTTTCCTTGGTATCAACAAACACATCCTCCTATTTTGCAATTACAATTAGGATCACAAACATTATTCCCCCCAACTTATATATAGGAATTAATACTTTCTTACTCATCTAACCAACTCATGACATGTTTTACAGGTTTCTGTTGTTGTTACTAATAATAACAGTAACATATTTATTTATATCCCAACCTTTCTTTCAAAGGAGCCCAGAGCAGCAGTGATAAAACAGTTTTTAGAAATTGTTTTTAAAAGAACATTCTCAACTGAGGACCTCAAGGTTACCAGGAACAGTGTCTTTTAGCCATCAAATACCTAAGTAAACATGAATGTTTTAAAATTTGTCCTGAAAGTCAATGAGCCAGGCGCACTTCACTTGGGGGAAGGAGAATTAGGTTATCAATGGCTACTAGTTATGACAGTGATGTACTACTTCCATTTTCAGAAGCAGTAAGTCTCTAACCTACTGAAGAGCACGAGCAGAAGTGGATTACTGTATGCACATCTTGCATGTGAGCTTCCCACAGACCTCTGACTAGCAACTGTGGGAACAGAATGCTGGACTAGATGAATCATTCATCTAATCCAGCAGGGCTCTTAGAGACTTAATTATGACAGAAGGCACTTTTGCCAAAGTCAGGCCCTGGCTTCTTAAACACAATTCAAAGTTCTGGCTTCAATAAACCACTGAAACTGGTTGATTTTCATACATATATCATTCTTGGTTACAAAAAAGGATCTATTATTATCACACAAATATCTACAGTGGTACCTTGGTTCTCAAACGCCATGGTACTCTAACAACTTGGAACTCAAACACTGCAAACCTGGAAGTAAGTGTTCCGGTTTGTGAACTTTTTTCGGAAGCCATACGTGCTCCATTTTGAGTGCCACACTTCCGTTTTGAGTGTTACGCTGAGGTCTGTCTGTTTTTGCTTTATTTTGCATTTTTGTTTTTGCGGCTCTTTCATTTTTGTTTATGTGACAGTGTGGAACCCAGTTCAGCTACTGATTGATTGTGTGACTGCAGTACATTGATTATTGCTTTCATTTTATGGCTCAATGGTCTCGTTAGATAGTAAAATTCATGTTAAACTGCTGTTTTAGGGGTTTTTAAAAGTCTGGAATGGATTAATCCACTTTGCATTACTTTCAATGGGAAAGCGTGCCTTGGTTTTGGAACACTTTGGTTTTGGAACGGACTTCTGGAACAGATTAGGTTTGAGAACCAAGGTACCACTGTATTTTGTTGCATGTGAATTTAGTGAGAAGGCATGACTGGCTATCATTGTCATCATGCGTGAATGCATAGACACTTTTCCTTACAAAGCCATAATATTAAACTAGGTAAAAATATTTATTTAATCCATCTTTACCCTGCCTTTCAAATATTTTTTTCAAGGTAGCTTACATTAGTTACATTTTTTTTAAGTGTTCCTCGTTTCCAATCTGTGTAAGCATCCCAAGTTTTCATCTAAACTTAGATGAGCCTATGCACAGTAACCAGGGAGGGGCCACTTTGCAAGATGGGTACCTATTACCAATGGTTCAAGACCTAAAGTGTTATACCCCTCTAAAACCCTTCCCTACTCACAGCCAGCATGCTAGAAACATGAACGTTTCATAATATTTCACAAGGACGTTTCCCCCCAGGGGGTCTGGCCCACTTATGTGTGATGATATGTGACTGACTGAATAGGGAAGTGATGGATGCTGTTTACTTGAGAATAAATGATGATTAGGAAGGCACTATTACAGCCATTAAATGAGGGCCACCCAAAAAAGGCATGTCACACGCATCCAAAGGCAATGCCAAAGTTATGACAACAAGAGAGCAAAGCTGCAATCCTATACAGGTACATTCATGGGAGCAAGTCTGATTGAACTCAGTGGGACTTGCTTCTGAATCAACAAGCAGTACCTTAAATGAAAATGCTGTGGGTGGAGGGAACACAGGTAAGAAAGGAGTTCAAAAAAAACACCTTAAAATCCTGACATACTTGTGGTGGTGGGGAGGGAAAATGCATCTATTCCTTTTAAGTCATTGGTGAGGAACCTGTGGCTCTCCAGATGTGAGAGCTCTAAGTATTATTATTATTATTATTAATCACCGGGGCTAAAGCTGCAATCCTATACTGTACATTCGCGGGCTGGGGGGAGCAAGCCTGATTGAACTCAACGGGACATGCTTTTGAATCAACATGCACAGGGCAAGTAGTAACTTAAATGAAAATGGTAAGAAAGGAGTTCAAAAAGAGCACCGTAAATCCTGACATACTTGTGGTGGATGGGGGAGAAGGAAAAATGCATTTATTCCGCTTTAAGCCAGGGGTGAGGAACCTGCGGCCCTCCAGATGTGGGAGCTAGTAGTAGTAATTAGTATTATGTTATGATGATGATGATGATCACCACCGGGACTGGAGCCCAGCACCATCCGGACGGCCACGGGTTTCTCCCAACCCCGATTCAAACGTACAACTAAAGTGTCGGAAAGGAAGTGCTGCTGCTGAGGAGAAACCGCTCTTCTCCCCCCACGGGGAGAATCGTTCGGCCGGCGGTACCTGAGAGCGGAGGCCTCTCGCCGTCGTCGCCGCCGCCACCACCCCCGGCCGGGCCTGTGGCGGCGCTGGCGGCGGCGGCGCTGCTGGCGGTGGTTCTCTCGGGCGGCGCGGGGTTGAGGAGGTGCGCGAAGATGGCGGCGAAAGGGTTGGCGGCGAGCGGCTCGGTGCGGTACATCTCCCACAGCAGGTAGAGGGCGGTGAGGCGCTGCGGCGGCGTGGGCAGCAAGTCGGGCTGCTGCAGGAGCAGCACCAGCACGGAGCCCACGCGGAAGTGCTCGGCCTTGCCGAAGTAGTGGTGGAAGGCGGTGGAGAGGCCTTCGAAGGTGCCGCCGCCGGCCTCCTCCGACACGATGCTCAGCAGGCTCGACAGCTCCTTCGGCGAAAGGCTCATCTCTCCACGAGGCGGCGGAGGAGGAGAGAACTCCGCCTCGGTGCTGCTGTTATTACTATTGCTATTATTACTACTACTATTGTTACTACTACTACAACCCCCACCGGGTATCGAACCCGCGGCCTCCGTAGCGCAACCGGGCTGGGGGACTAACGCTGGCCCCACCCGCCGGCATCCAGCTCCGCCCCCTTCCTTCTGTCTCGCCTCGCCTGCGCGCGCTACCTCGCCCGCCTACCTACCTACCAGCTACTCCTCTCATTATTCATTCGCCCCCCCCCGTGCGCGCGCATGTTTCCCGCAACGTTCTGCCGCCCACGCTCTATCTAGACATCGCGGCTATCGCTCCGCACGAGCGGGCTCTACCGTAAAGTCGCTCGCCGCCGGATAGCGGGCCCCGCTTTCCAACATTGTCGCAAAGCTTATATAGAGACAAGAAGCGGTGAAACCCGGGCAACCAAAGGGAGGCGGCAGGGGAGCAGCGGAAGCGAGCGGCGATCTTACAGTGGTTGGGAACTGAGCTCCGTGGCTCCCCCTCGGCAGAAAGGGATTGGGCTCTTCCGAACCCAGATACTGGAATGAGAAGCGGGATTGGCCGCTCGGAGACCTAAAACTTCAAGGGAGAGGAACGGGATTGGCTGTTTCCTCCTTTGAGGTGGAGCGCTTTGCCGGGAGTGTTGAGTAATGTGTTGCTTCGATGTTTGTACAGTGGTAGCTCAGGTTACATACGCTTCAGGTTATAGACTCCGCTAACCCAGAAATAGTGCTTCAGGTTAAGAACTTTGCTTCAGGATGAGAATAGAAATCGTGCAGCAGCGGCGCAGCAGCAGCAGGAGGCACCATTAGCTAAAGTGGTGCTTCAGGTTAAGAACAGTTTCAGGTTAAGTACGGACCTCCGGAAGGAATTAAGTACTTAACCTGAGGTACCACTGTGCTGTAGTCTGATTTCCAAGCAGTTTTTTTTTTTTAAAGAAGAAAGGTAACTGAACCAATACAACTTTAATATACAGAGCTGAGGCCTTGAGGGTGTCTTTGCGCGTGAGAAGTGCAGCCGATTCCGATTTCAGTGGGCTATGCAGTGATTCTTGACTCGCAGTACCATCTTGTGCACCTTTACTCTGAAATAAGGTGCACTGCCGGCTTAAGATGCAGCGAGGTCTTGAGGGATAGCTCAGTTGGTAGAGCATGAGACCCTTAATCTCAGGGTTGTGGGTTTGAGTCCCACGTTGGCAAAAGATTGCTGCATTGCAGGGGGTTGAACTAGATGACCCTGGTGGGACCCTTCTGTGTTTCAAATCACATTTGCCCCTACAGTTGGATGTGTTTCCAAGTTGCCCGTTGTCAGTCCACACTGGTGGGTGGAGAGAGGGTGGAGATTCTGGCTTCATATGGCTTATGTTTGAAAGCTGCTTTGGGAGGAAATGCATCAAAACACAGGGTTTAAATGTGGATTGTGACTAGCATCCTATATAGAGGGCTTCACAAAGCAGCCGAGGGAGTGCACAGGATATAGAAGACAGGAGTGTGTACGCAAGCCGGCCCACCCATGAGGCGAGGTGAAGCAGACATCCACTAATCTCATGGGATATGCAGCCCCTGTGTGTACACAACCTAAGTTCAACAGGTCTTACCCCCCAGATGAGTTTGCTAGAATTTGAGCCTCTCAGTTAATCTTATAGTCAAACTTCAGTTTTCGAACCGAAGGTTTCAGAAGCCAAAGCCAAAACCTGGAAGTGAATGCTTCTGTTTTCGAATGCGCCTTGGAAGTCGAACGGCTTCCGAGACAGATTTTCAATTTTCCCCATTGACATTGCTGACAGCCCTTTGATCCTCGGTTTTTGAACGTTTTGGAAGTCAACTGGACTTCCGGAACGGATTGCATTTGAAAACTGAGGTTCCGCTGTAATGCATACTTCAAAGTGAGTCTCTTCAAGTTCCAGTGGCTTACTCTGGGGTAAATAGTTATAGGATTGCAGCATCAGTTTTGCAGCATGATTATTTTTGAGTAAACATGGTTTAGGATCAGGCTGTGGTCGTAGCTTCCATGCATGTCAAATCTGAATATGTCACCTACATCTGTCCTCAGTTTAAACCAATTTATTTGTTTTTTATTCTGCATTAAATTACATACAAATAGTTCAATAACAGTTCAGATGGGCCTAAGTCAGAGGTTTTCAACCTTTTTGAGTCCATGGCTCCCTTGACCAACAGCATTCTTTCTGTGGCACCCCTGCGGGGCTCAGGAGCCCAGTTATGTCACCCCTTGCCTGCAGAGCTGGCAGTCCCTCACCCTTTTTTCAAACACCCTCCCTTGTGGAGTTTTCCCTCAGCCTCCTCTCCTCCCTCCTTGGGAGTCCTCTGGACAGCCACAGCTGTCACCCCTGGTCTCTGAGCTGCCACCCCCTACCCCAAAGAGAGATGCCTCCTCACACTGCCTCACAGAGGCCTGGGAAGCACCCCCTGGCCAGCCCCAGAGGCAACATTTGCCTGGGGACCTTGCAGCAGGGCTGCCGCAACAAACAGCTGTGCAAACCTTTGGGAGGCAGAGATGCAAGAGGGCATCAGAGGAGGGAGGGAAGGAAAGAGGGACAGAGGCCAGTGTTGCCCACAGCACCCCTGACTGTCATTCAAGGCACCCCAGGGTGCCACGACACCCTGTTTGAAAACCACTGGCCCAAGTTAATCATAAACCATTAAGTTCAATGGATCTACTTTGAGTAAGACTAACATTGGAAACATGCCATATTTCCACAGTCAGTTCTTTGGTGTTTTTGAAGTGTGATGTAGTTTTAGTGTATCTATGCTTTTTCCATCTTACCTTAATGCTGAAAGCCATTACACATATTTGTACGATATATTGCAGTGGTATAATGCATGTAATAGAAAACTATTGATTTTCTTCAGCAGCCCGGCTATTTGAACACTGCAGTGAGTGTTCATATTTAAAACAGAGCGGAAAGTTAGTAGAACAAAGTATTTTTACTTGTGGGAAGGGGACTAATTTAAGTGAGCCATTAAAGAGGGTGTGTTTTGGTATCTTCATTATAGCAACATTGACTGTTATTTCTGAGCAGTGAGCAACCCCTTATAAAAAGCCAATGAAGAAACAGTGGCATGAAGAGTGTGGCAATGGCAAGTGTGGGAAGGGTTGAGCAGCCTTCCTGCCTACTGTTACTTCTCCCAATAAGTGCCCCTCTGTGTCCCCATTATGTCACCAAATATGCGTTTAGGAGGACATGGCCCAAATTATACTTAGCTCTTTCCTCTGTATCAAGTGACCATTCTCAGGTACTGAATGAGTCCTCCTAATAAAGTCACATTTAGTAGTCCTTACATAAGGGATGCGGGTGGTGCTGTGGTCTAAACCACAGAGCCTAGGGCTTGCCGATTTGGCGGTTCGAATCCCCGTGATGGGGTGAGCTCCCATTGTTCGGTCCCAGCTCCTGCCCACCTAGCAGTTCGAAAGCATGCCAGTGCAAGTAGATAAATAGGTACCGCTCCGGCAGGAAGGTAAACGGTGTTTCCATGCACTGCTCTGGTTTCGCCAAAAGCGGCTTAGTCATGCTGGCCACATGACCCGGAAGCTGTAGGCCGGCTCCCTCGGCCAATAAAGCAAGATGAGCGCCGCAACCACAGAGTCGCCCACAACTGGACCTAATGGTCAGGGGTCCCTTTACCTTTACGTTTACCTTTACTTTTTTACTTTTAAAAAGTCAAAATGTAGAAGTGTGATAAGCAAGCAAGGCTAAGAACTATGTAGATAGCTAATGGTAGATATGGGACCAATTGCAGGCTGATGACTTGAGGAAGGATAATGTTGGAAGGTGTGTATACAGCGGTTACTGAATTTGAATGAAGCCCCCTCCTGGCCTCGTGCGGTCCCTTCCTCCTCCCATCTAGCCAGGACAAGGAGGTAGTAAAAGGTTTTGCTAACTGCTGTTAGTCATCCTGTCTGAATCAATAAACTGCCTAACATTAACTATGGTTAGTTTAAAACAAGCCAACCTAAGTGGCTTATTTTTTATATTTATACTTGCAGTACAATTCCCCTCCCCCAACATATAGCTCAAAATAAGAGGAAAGAAGGAAAGGAGAAGGTAACGGGTTGGTATTAGAAAAATTGCAGATAAATAATTGTTGGTAACAACTATATAAAAAAGTAAGAGTGCTTCGTAAAAGTCCATTAACAGACTGTCTAAGCATTAATATAATTATCTGCCATCCAAATGCCCCCTTGGAGTCTGAAATCTGTTGTCTGTTAAAAACTGCATGTCCAAATGCGGAAAGTACATTAATGTCCTCTGTCCATTGTACAATTGCAGGTGGGGATTTATCTTTCCAGTGCTGGAGAATACATCTTTTTGTTGCCACGAAAGCCCTTGGGACCTATTTATGTTGTCCATCTGATAGTTCCCGCAGTGCCGGGATGTAATTCAAAACTGAATATATATCAGTGAATTTCAAAGAAGATTCTAAAACTAGATTAATATGTATAATGATCTCAGTCTGGAAGGAAGTCACCATGGAACAAACCCACATGGTAATAATGCTTTTGGTACAGTGTGACAACACCAGGATCAACAGTCAGAGAGGGTTATCCACTTGGAAATGCTTTTTTATTATTAATAATTTAAACTACAAATCTAAGGAAACACAACTTACTGAGGCAATGTCATCTTTTCATTGGCACTTGTGAAGAAATCCTATCTATTTTAATTGTGTTTTAATGGATATTGTGTAATATATTCTGCCATTTGTATTGTAATGTGTTTGATGGGGGAATCCTCCGGTTATGTGGAAGTTGGTTTAACTGTCACTGGGAGATCTCAACTGACAGCAAGGAGGAAATAGAACTCTCAGTATGCAAAAAAAGAATAGAAGACTTGTATATTCAGATTGGTTATTGCAGATTTAGAATTCTTAGTTAATCGGTGCAGTTGACTGGTAGTAATGTATATATGACCATGTGGTGGTCAGCAGGAGGGTTAGTTGGTTAGTCCATGCTGATTGGTGCTTGGTGTTCAACCAGAAGATGAAGACAGCAGAGGAAGAAGATTGCAAAAGAAAAAAGAACATCTGAAAGGAAGGCAGAGTATATTGGTGACCGATGACTTGCCTGGGGTAGCTGAATCACTTGGCTCAGACTGAAGAGATGAGAAGAGCACCTGTCTACGGCACTGAGGGAGAAGGGAGGGACCAGATTCCAGGACAGGACAGCAGAAACAGACCTACACTTTACTAGGGGCTGAAACATGGGAATTCAACAAAAGCCCTCAATTATAGTCAGCTGGTGAGGCTTCACTGAAGTGGACCAATGGGAGTCTGGAAAAAGTGTTTGAATAAAGTGTTTTAATATAGTTACTAATGGGTAACTACGTATAGTGTGGTTATTAAAAGGGTAACTACACTTGCTGTGTAGTAGATGTGCAGAAACTAATGTATACGGAGTACTTGGTTTTGGTTGAATCCTCTACAGGAAAGATATACTGGTTGCAAGAAAGGAAGGAAATGCAAACGAGATTCCAAGGACTAGAAAATGAGACTGAAGCAAGAAATAAAGTGCACTAAAAGGGAGCAGGTGCCCAGTGAGTGATTCCTATAGCTTGGTGTTCAAGCAACTTACTTGTCAAAACTCTGACTTCACTGAAGTCTGGCTAAAAATACTGACATGCAGGAGCTGGCTCGTCTCACAGAATTGGTTGCCTGCACATTTTGCTTATTAACTTTTCTTCTAGGATGGCTACATACTTACCTTGTTTTTAAATGAAAGGTCAGAGTCTGGGAGCCCTTGCAGTAAAGGACCCTGGTGCAATTACTCCAATTGCACCATTATAATCCAGCCATGCAGCCATTGTCTGCATATTTTTTCTAATGTTTGTAAACAAAGGAACTAAAAGTGTGTATGTATCTTAATGAATGATTGAAATTTAGGGAAGGAATGTGGTGTTCCTCTGCATCTCTTGGTTATGGGCAATTTCATTTTGGTGATATTCTCATTGGCCAGTAATATTAAATAAAACCAATGGATAAAGTTACTGAGACACACAGTGCATCTGGCAAGATAACAGAATATGTTTATTCCATGTCTTCCCTCTGCAGCTGCTTTCTACTGTTGCAATTTTGAAATCCCAGGTGGCATGTTAGAAATGTAATAGGAAATGTCTTGGTGTAGCAGGATTGCAGGGCAAGGCATACATTTTCCATATTGCTGTGGTCAGTAATAACATTGATACAAACCAGATGAATTCTGACATTGTTCAGATTTTGAGCACGGCCTTGAAACTTGATGTGTGCTCTTATTGTGTAAGTGCCGTTTAGAGACTGTTTGCTGCACAGCTGCCAAATAGTCGTAATGGGATATAAAGTAAAGAAAATGTGTTATTGTGAGGATACATGAGCACCATATTCATGCCTATTTTTTTCCATCATGCTAAAAAAGAGGGAAGGGAAATCAGCTATATTTCAGTGCAAGAATTATGAAGGATATTGTAGATTAGAACATTCTCACAGATCTGCATGAGAAGATATATAATATCTTGAGCAGGGTAACATTGTACCTATTTAATCTCTGAGGCAACAAGTTCCTTTTTAATTTCAAAATCCTGTTGAGTGATCTTAGCCAAATAAGCAACATTTTGGCAGGATAATGGTCTCACAGAAATAATACATGGCCTTAGGAGAAAAATAAGTCAACTAAAGCCACTGATGTTATGAAACAGTTCAGTTTGCTTCCCACTTGCGTTAAGATTCAGAGAGCAATAATTTTTCAGCCTGATCCTACAATGGCCCCCACTCTGACTGAGACTCATCACTATTATATGTGGCACCAGCTTAGCAGCATAACACAAATACAGCAACAGCCAGTCATAAATCCTCTTCAAGCATTCACACAAGTTAAATAAACAAGTGAGAGGAGGCATGGGGGATGAATGTTCTAGCGCCACCCCTGGACACCCTCCAAAAGTTGGAGGGTGAACTTCTGAACTAGCTTTTGCTCATGGAGATTCCTTGCACATTGCTTCCATGTGGAGAGGCTACCTACTTCAAAGTTCACTCTCCAAGTCATGGAGGGTGACAAGTGGTGGTGAAACTACTGTAGTGTGCTGAAATCCATTACCCCTCTTTCATGTTTACACAGGAAAATAACACTAGAGGGAAGGATAACAGGACTTTGGCTTCTGCTTGTTCTGTTACTATGGATACCTTTTAGATGTGCAGCCTAAGGCTTGCTCCTTGCTCCTTTTGCTAATTAGCTGCCAGAATCAGACTGACTGGTTGGGTTGCAAAGAGAATGCTTCTTTGAAAGAAGGTGCAGTAATCAATCTGTTCAGATGCTGCCCTTCTGTCTGTGGCACAGTCCATTTCGCAGTAGCCCACCATGGTAAAGGCCTATTTTGTTGTGGCACTCAGAATAAGCTCCCCTCTACAATAAAAGCCAGTTGTTATGCATTTTTGGTGCTCTCTTAAATACAGCTGTTTGCCCAAGCATTTGTTGTGATCATTACCAACCTAGCTTCTTGTGATTTTTCTGGCAGTTGCTTGTTGTATTTATTGCTTAATATGCTTAACTGAGTTTGTTCAACATTGTTGTAAACCACAATGGGATGTTTAATGAAAGACAGAACAGAAAAGTTTAGATGATGACTATGAGACTTGCTACCTTAAAGGAAGGCATGTATGGCAAGAGCTTTGTCAAATAAGCCTCCTTTAGATCCTGGAGTTCTGGATTGTTACCATGTCATTTCATGTGGTTTCGGGGCAAGATGCTTAAGTGTGTGGTGGTCCAGTGCCAGGTATTTTTGGATAATACTGATTATCTAGATCCATTTCCAACTCAGTTTTAGGATGGAGGCAACCTTGGTCACTCTAGGGTAGGGGGCAAATGTCAACCTCTTCTGGCTTGTGGGAGCATTGCAGGGGGTTGGATAAATGATCCTTGGGGTCTCTTCCAACTCCAGAACTCTCTGTGCAAACCTGAGAAATACAATAAGTCAAATCACAGACACACTACAACCATGCAGACACCACATCCAATTTTAATGGTTGCAATTGAATGCATCTTTCAAACTAGATTTCAGCAGGGGAAGGGGACCCTGTGAGTGCCAGGGAAGTATTCTGTGGGCAAAGTAGTGCCACACACCCTGCACTGGCAACCCTTGTCCTGGGCAGTTTTGCTTGACTTCTCAACAGCTTTCAAAATGATCAACTATGAAGTCCTTCTGAGCCACCTGGCTGAGATAGGATAGGATAGGGGCATATTGCTCTGTTCTTCCTAAGGAGCAAGTCTCAGAAAGAGGTCCTGATGGACCATTGCTGAACCCCATGGGCACTGGACATGTTTCGCACCATGCAGTTCTTCCCTTTCCCATGGTTGTGATGGATCGTCACCTTTCTCTTTTCATGAGTGTGGTGGAAGGGTGATATAATGTGCATCTTTGGACATTAAAGTAAAACCATACCGGAGCCTCCCTCTAGCTATTTGGGAATGTTAGAAAACGGAAGAGAGCCATTTAAAACGCCAAATAAACATTCTGGCTGGCAGAAAGAAGCTTTACATTCAGAACAGTTTACATTCACAAAAAGTGCGTTTAAAGTAACTTCTCAAAATTCCCTCGACGGATTTGTCGTCTCAGCATTCTCGCAGAAGTCCCATTCCCACGGGCTCTTTTCCAAAGAAAAAAGAAAGAAAAAACGAGGTGTGCCAAGGTTTGAAAGCCACCTGCCCTCTTCTCTCTCTGCCTTGGAAGCAGTGCCCTAGTTACACGCACGCACAACATAACCCACCCAGCAACCGCGCATTCTGCACGTGCTCTTGCCCCGTGGGCGTTTCAACCTCCACGCCTCTGGGATTTAAGGAGGCAATTAGTCCTATACTCCAGGAAAACGTCCCCGCCATCGGCGGCGGCGTTGCCTCCTCCTTCCCTCAGCTACTGCAGGGCGGGCCGGGACGAAGAAGCTAAGGCCGGGCGGTGTGTGGAAACGAGGCAGGGGATTTCCTCTTTCGGCTCCTCCCGCTCCCATTCCCCCCGCCCCCGTCCTGGAAAGGCCAGGCCAGGTTTCTTCTCCCTCTCTCGTTTCTGAGGAGAAACTCCTCTGAGGCGGCAGGAGGACGAGGGCGCCCTTCGCTTCAGGCAACCGCAGCAGCACCAGCCGCTCCCCCGGGAGGAGGAGTAGGCTCTCGGGCCCAGCGGCGAGCTCCTCCCCGCGGGGCGGGCGTTGGCGGAGGGCGCCCCCTTCGCCTTGCCGCCGGCGAGTGGACGGGCGGCGGGGTCCCGCGGCGGCGGCGGCGGAGCGGGCGATGTGACCCCTGGCGGCGGAGGGGCTTGGCCGGCGTCAAGATGTGGCTGAAGCCCGAGGAGGTGCTGCTGAAAAACGCCCTGAAGCTGTGGGTCACGCAGAAGAGCAGCGGCTACTTCGTGCTGCAGCGGCGGCGGGGCCACGGAGGCGGCGGCGGGCGCTTCACCGGTAAACGGCGGGAGAGGGGCTTGGCCGGGGCGACCCCATAATCAGAGCTGGAAGCGGGCCGCCACCCCCGCCGGGAAAGCTCGCCTACAGGTCGGCAGGCGTGGAAGTGCGAGCCGCCCTTCGCCTTCCCAACCCCTCCGGAGGGAAAGGAGTGGGTCTGTCGTGGCCGCGATATTATTATTAGCCTCCAGGAGGATTCCTCTCCAGACGTCCCCGAAACTGGGGACTCACTCTCTCTGTCTCTCTTTGTTGCTTTTCTTTTATACTTCTGCCGTCTTTTGACTCCTTGGTCGGGACTGAGGAAGAGGAGGAAGTAACTCCCATAGTGTGAGGGGGCACCCCCTGCCTTGATGGACTGGGTGGAGGGGATTTTGCTGCTGCCCTGCACCCTGAGGTGGGGGAAAGGAGATGGACGCGGGGGGGGGGGAGAGAAACCAGGCTCTTTGTTCAGGGACAACCTGAATTCTTACCTCTGCCCCCCCCCCCCGTTGTGCATTGCAAGTAGTCACTTTTCCCCACACCTTATAGTTGGAAAAAGTCACTGTGGAGTAAAGGAAGGAGCTGTAGCCTGCGTGCAGATAGAAGCTCCCCTTGCCCATTTTTTTTTTTTTTACTAAGTCTCTTGGCGTATGATAAAAGGTTTCTGTCCTCTGAACAACTCCATTGTTTTCAGAGTGGGATTTAACTCGAGTTTTTTGTTCAGGTGCCTGCAGCAGCTGTTGTTAATGGGGGAGAAAGGAGGAAATCCGATAGAGAGGGAAAACGTGGAAGAGCTTAGCCAGAGCCCACGAGATGCTGGATTTTACCAGTTTGCCAAGATAAGACATGTAGAATAAGAAGGCAATGGAAGGCTATATTTAAGATAGACTGCGGCTTGAAACAAAAATACGTGAGATTTTG